ATGAGAAATCACTCTATTTCCTCTTGTTCTGCTCAAATGAATCCTCTGTATTTATCAGGGATCAGGACTTGCCATCTCTGAACAGCTCCATTGGGAAACTTCCACCCAATGGTCTGCAGCAGGTGGTCACTCATGATGGCCATCTGTACCCCGACATTGCACTTCATGTTGATTTTCTCCAGGTATGCAGTTACACTTTTGGAATCAATATGTCTCTCCCTCTCCAATCACTTGATGGTTAGCCAAGAGATACAGAATCACTTTGATAATAGCATAAGGCAAATATGACTCGGAAGATAACCCCAGGGGAAGAAATTTTTTAATGCATTACTAAATTGAATAGAGAATAGTTATAAATTTTTCTCTCATTTAGAATAGTGATTCTACCCCCTAGTATACCAAATTGACTTCAAGTAATAAATACTTTGAAATTCTTCCTTTGCTACCTTAAAATGCAAACTAGAGATAATACTATCTTCCTACACAATTTTTATAGACATTAATATTAAATTTTATTTTTTTAAGTTTTTATTTAAATTCTAGTTCATTAACATACAGTATAGGGGCACCTGGTTGGCTCAGTCAGTTAAGCATCTGCCTTCATCTCAGGTCATGATCCCAGGGTCCTGGGATCAACCCTCACATGGGGTTCTCAGCTCAGCAGGGAGTCTGCTTCTCCTTCTCCCTCTGCCTGCCACTCCTCCTGCTTGTGCTCTGTGCATGTGTGTGTGTCAGATAAATAAATAAAATCTTTATTAAAAAAACATAGAGTATAATATTAGTTTCAGGTATACAACACAGTCAGGTATACAATAAGACTTCCATAAAACACCCAGTGCTCATCACAACAGGTGCACTTCTTAATCGCCATCACCTATATAACCCATCCCTCCACTCAACTCCCCTCTGTAACCCTCAGTTTGTTCTCTACATGTAAGAGTCTGTTTCTTGGTTTGCCTCTCTCTGTCTCTCTCTTTTTCCTCTTTGCTCATTTGTTTTGTTTCTTGAATTCCACATATGACTGAAATCATATGGTCTTTGTCTTTCTCTAAAGACAGACACTGGGACTGTTTCCATAATGTGGCTATTGTAGATAATGCTGCTATAAACATTGGGGTGCATGTATCCCTTTGAATTAGTATTCTTGTATTCTTTGGGTAAATGCCTAACAGTGCTGGATCACAGGGTAGTTCTATTTTTAACTTTTTGAGGATACCTCTACTGTCTTCCAGAACTACAAACTTAATTTTTTAAAAAATCAATATGCCATGAGTATGGAAGTTAGATAAAAGAAAAGTCACTTCTAGTAAAAATAACATTTCATTGTACTTAACCTGGGGCATAAGTGCATTAAGAGACATAATGCACTTATCAGAAGTCTGCTGTATTTACACAACTGCTGTTGTGTAAATGTGTAAATTTACACAACTCGCACAGGTGTGCTGTTTGATGTCCAGAGACCATGAGTCATGTTACTCTTCATGATATGGTTTTCCAAAATAATGGCCAACAATTGGGAAATTCCAAACAAAACAAATCACAAACGTCCCTCAATTTACCCAGTTGTTGTAGTCCTGGAAAATTCAATGTATATGATATCATTTTTATAAAAATGTGTTAATATATAAAATGGAGATAGATTCAGGCTCAGAAATTATTAACAGGTTTTTATACTTCCTAAACCTGTTTTTATAAACAGGTCCACTGGGACCCTCAGGAGTTATGGAAGACATAGGACAATGCCTCATTCTGTGGGAATGTCTAACATTCTGTTAGAATGTCTAACCACACAGGCTCCTCCCTACTCAATGCCTCAGGTGCCCACAATCATCATGAGAATGATGGGCACCCCCACAGATTTCCAAAATGTCCCTAGGCAGCAGTATCACTTTTGCTGAGAACTACTGGTTTGCTGTTTTTTCTCCAGGGCTGCCCCCACTGACTCAAATGACTGAAAGTTGATTCTAACTGTGAAACCAAAGAATGATAGCACTAGAAGGGACTCTAAAGTTTATCTATGTGGCCCCCTCCCTTTACCCATGTTAGGTAAGTAACTTGCCCTTAAACACTCAGTTACTACACGATCTAGGATAAAAACCATGGTCTCCCTTCGGTTTTTCTTTTTAACTGAAAACAGAAAGATACCTTTGAATATGTCTCTCTTACACACCAGATATTTTTAAAAAGTTGAGTGATTGACAATATTTTCTAGTTTCTTTCAGGACATTTGGGGTTGAAATCATTCCTCACCACTGAGCTTTAGTGTCAGGCTGGATACTCTCTAGTGCCCACTAAAATCCTGGATTCTTGCATGCAAATAAATCAGAAAGAGGCAAAAATCAAATCCTTTACAAAATGTCCAAAAGACTGGCCTCTAGGAGCAGAATTGTCTTACCTGGTTAGTGTCCAATTGGTTTTCCCACTATTCTTCCCAAACTCCAGCTATCAGAATCTAAGCAGGACCTTGGAAACTAAATAACTGACTTCATATGCTCCTGCCCTGTGCCCAGCGCAGGGCCTCTGGCTCTGCCATAGGACAGCAATGCACTGGTTCCTTCACATGACTTAAGGAAGACTTGGCTATTTGCCAACTACCCTTGGCGAGTGGGTTCTGATGGTGAATTGGGTATTTTTACATCTAATTTGGCAGATCAAATTAAGGAGAGAAACACTGATTGCCCAAACTTCATAATAATGGCTCTCCAAATTAAATTTACGATCAAATTTAATGCCAATTGCAAAAGCACTGGCTGAGAAACTTCAATTTACAAGACTTGTGCACTATCAGGAGTAAAGAGGGTGAAGAGAAGAAACTCATAGGATATCAGACTTACTGGGTAAAGCTGTGGATCCTACACCAAAGAGTAGAATTAGGATTGCCTCCTAATCCCTTCCTCATGCCACACTAAAAGGGCAACCTAATGTATATCTGCAAACCCATCTTCAGGAGATGAAAACACAAAAGTTCCTTCAAGTATTCAAGAAAACACTATCAGGTCCTCATACTCAGCATTTATACACTCTCTACTTTCCTCACAGAAAAATTCTCCAGCCCTTCCTTCGGAGAATAACTCCTCTTAATTTTAGACTCACTCTAATAATTTAAAGAACAGGTGTTGAAAACAGCAATTTAGAAAAGGAGGTGGTCTGCCTGCTCAAGGTAATCCCTCTGACAGCAACAAAAAGAAACAACTGACAGACCTCCAGGAAGGAGGTGGAGAACTGTTTTACAATGGGGCGAGGGGATCGACATAGGAAGTCAAAATGAGGGGCCTAGAATGGCCTAGGTTATTCAGTGCAGAGACTGGTGGCTTTGCTAGCCCTGAGAATGTCTCCATATATAGGAAAATACAGCAAATGATGTAAGGGGAAAATATGCCTAATATATTTAGCAGCAAAATCTGTAAAATTCAATGAAACAAGTAGAATCCTTGAGTGTCAGAGTAGGAATAGCTTTAAGAGAACATCCTTATCTAATTCCTTTATTTTACAAAAAAGGAAACAGAATATAAAGGAATGAGCAGGGTCAAGGCAGAGTTGAGACAAGAGCACAGCCCCGCTGGTCCAGTGCTCCTTCCACACAGACATCCTGAGAGCTGACAGCACTAAGGGGTAGGAAAAGAGATGTTGCATCAACTTTAGTCATTCATTTGTGTCCTGGCTTCTGACATCTCTGCTTTTGCTTCCTTTCACTGATTTTACTCCCTGATTTGTGATGAGATAACCTCAGGATTGGCCCTGAAAATTAGGACCAAAGGTAAAGTTTACCTTGAAATCCTTCCTACATCCCATTCCTGGTGTGTTTTCTCTAAGCCGTCCTATGTTTGTCATCTGGCTTGGCACCTCACCCGCTGGCCTCACACCCAGAGTTCCCAGGATGATGTAGGAAATGCTCCCAACTCCCAGAACTTTGGCATATTCCCAATTTGATCTATAACTCCATCAAAGAAAGAGGGAATATGGTAGTGTTTTTCAATAGTAAGTGGAGAGCTTGAGAAAACGTAGATTCCTGATCCTCATCCCTAAAATTATGATTGAATAGATGATTCTATTTGAAGTGGGTCTTGACCCACTTTGGAAAACACATGGCTTCTACTTACCTCTCCAGGCTCCTCTGCCCTCAGTCCCCTCATGCACATTCCCCTCCACCCAAGTTCTTCAGACTGCCCACCCACCATGTCTTCATGTTCCACCTTCTTTGCCCAGTTAATTTTTCCCTATACCTCAAAATCAGCTGATGCACATGTCTCTCCTCTCTGCTTTCTGTATTCCCATATGCCTCTGTATTATTAAGTTTATACAGCCTATGATGGACACTGACTTTTTGGTATATCTCCCCTTGAGGTCAGGTTCACGTCTCCCTTGCCTTTTTTATTCCCAGCATTTAGCACCCTGCCAAGCACATAGTGCGCCCTCTATAAATGTTCATTAAATTATCTTTTCCACTTGCTAAATTTCCTTGTTAAAAACTAGTCACTTTCTTAGATTTGCATTTTTTATCAACCCCACCCCCCACATACAGTACAAAATTGTCACAGATAGCTTGAACCCAGGGTCCTGGGATTCTCCTCATTCTCAAATGAGGAGCACCTTCTGTCATATGGAAAAATGAAAGAGAAGAATGTTAGCATAATGTAACCATGAAGTGCAGAGGTCATAATGACCTAGGCTTTCATTCAGGATCTCTGACACCTAAGGAACATCACAGAGACATATACAACAAATAGAAATTTTTCTAAATAAAGAGCAGTTATCAATAGTTCATTAGGATTATTTCTGATTGCCTTCCCAGACATTCAGGTTAAAAGTTTTTCAGAACTGACATTGAAAGACGTTAGAATTGGCCTTGAATTTTATTCGTATACATATGTAAATTTCACGTGTTTGTTCTAAGATCGCAGAGGCTCCCAGTATTTCGTACCCAAGATGGTTAAACCTCTTGCTGAAGAGGTTAGCTCCTCTCCTGAAGTCCACCACCCACGTGTGCTTGTCCCATGCAGGCGTCTGCTATGCAGAGTTCGGAGTCCGCGTCCCCAAGACCACTGGGTCAGCCTACACCTACAGTTACGTCACCGTCGGGGAATTTGTGGCGTTTTTCATTGGCTGGAACCTGATCCTGGAGTACCTGATTGGCACTGCGGCTGGCGCCAGCGCTCTGAGCAGCATGTTCGACTCGTTAGCAAACCACACCATCAGCCGCTGGATGGTGGACAGCGTGGGAACTCTCAATGGCCTGGGTGAGACTGCCATGTCCTCTTACCCCAACCAGCAGACTCACCCCAACAAATAAATGGGTTCCCCTTTCAGGATTCAATTTGGCGAAATGTATCAAGAGCCTTAAATATGTCTTTTTTTTTTTTTTCAAAGTAATTCTCCTGTGAATCTATCCTAAGGAAATCATCCTAATTTCCATAAAAGCTTTATATGAAAAGATACTTATCACAGCCTTATTTGTAATTAAAAAAACTTAGAAACAGCATAAGGATTCTACAGTGGAGGAAATGATTAACTAAATTGTAGAAGCATATTGTGTAGCGATTAAAAGGATGATTAGGAAGACTGTTGTAATAACATGGAATCCATTTTTTATATGATGTCATGTGACAAAGGATACATATTATATATACATCATGCTTATAACTATATAAAAATAAAACCAATACAGAAAAAATAATTGTAATGAACTTCTCCAGTGGTTTCACCAGATTTTTTAAGATGTTCATAAATAAGCATGTGTTAAATTTTAAGTGACAAAATATACTTTTAAAAGGGACAAAATGGATTCAAGTCTAGCAGAAATTAAGGAAGGGCAATATAACGGGGTAAATACTAAATCATCAGAACTTCACAAAACAAGGACCAGGAGTTCCATCCATCACTTGCTCCCACTTTCCATCCTGATGTCTAACTTTACCCTCTCTGATATTCATGGGAAGCCAAACAATAGTTGAGGAAGATTGGGGGTCTTGCCCCTAGAACTTCCAAGTACAGTTTCCGTGGCTGTGTGCCACTCATGTGACTTTGATGTCCCTATCTCAGACGAACGGATAAAAATGCTGAAAATCCAGATACCATGAGAAGATAAAAAGTATGAAGACCACACGTCTGCACAGTATGCTGATTTCATGGAGTTTTTAGGTCTGGAAGGGCCTCCAAAATCAGGCAGTGCACACCCTTCACTTTACAGATGAGGTCCGGGAAACTGAAGCATTTGCCCAAGACCACACAGCTGGTCTTGAGCAAAAGTGCAACTGAGATTCAGGAGCCTCACAGCTGAGGCAATGCCTTTTCCCCTCTATAGAGGGCAGGAGTCCACTGGCCAAAAGACCAGACCAAACAGGTGGGGTGTGTCCCCGGCTTCTTTTCTCATACACACCACATACACATAAATGCAAAGAACACCCTTCTTCCAACAGTTTTCAAAGATACACATTTTAAAACTTTCTAAAAATGAAAAGATTCCAGGAATGGAATGGAAAACGTCTGGACTATAAAGTGAACAACAGTGAAGATAAACCACTTTTCAAATAACATGTTAAATCCATATATATACAGCATGAATGTCTCAGGACAGTTCTGACTTCAGGAGTTCTATGCCATGGTTCCATAGACAGTGTTGTCATTGTCATGTCGTATAGCCCAATTTTGGGTCCAGGATATCAGGTCATCTTACCTACATACCAAAACCTTCCCATTTGCAAATAGACACTTGTGGACCACCACGTAGACACAGGTGCACACACATATATACTTGCACACAAACACACACGTGGACACACATGCATGTCTGCACACACTTGCTTCTCCTCCTTCCATGACAAAGTGATCACCCTTGCCAGAGCTGAGAGCAAATGTCCTGACGGGGATGCTGTGAGTTTGCATGGCCCTTTTTTCCCTCTGGACAATATTAACTCATGTCTTTGCCCCCTAGGGAAAGGGGAAGAATCATACCCTGACCTTCTGGCTCTAGTGATTGCAATCATCGTCACCATCATTGTTGCACTGGGGGTGAAGAATTCCGTGGGCTTCAACAACGTCCTCAATGTGCTGAACCTGGCAGTGTGGGTGTTCATCATGATCGCAGGCCTCTTCTTCATCAATGGGAAGTACTGGGCTGAGGGCCAGTTCTTGCCCCATGGCTGGTCAGGGGTGAGTGCTTCTCTAAAGCCTCTTAAGGCTATTGCACATTCTGCCTTCCGCCCTGTGGCTAGTCTGAAACATATTTTCGAAAAATGCTGCTCTGTCCCATAATCTTCATGTCATCTTTTTCATCATTTTTAATCTGAATTTAATGGGGATGCTCTGAAGCGGTTCCCATATCATTTTTTTACTTGTTTCACAAACATTTATTGAGACCGTATTTTATGCAAATAACCATAATAGATTTGATGTTTAGGCCATCTGAAATATGCCTAATCCTATGTGAAGTGCTCTGCATGTAATATTTAAGTGTCCTAATAACTTTGGAAGGAAGATATTTATATTCTGGTCTTATGGATGAAAAACTCATGCTCAGAGAGGGCAGGGGACTCGCTATTAAGCACACAATGTAAGTGGCAGAGTCAAAACCCAAAGCCAGGACTGTCTGACTCCAAAGCCTGTATATGAACAGCTTGGTCCTAGAGAATCCCTCTAGAGTATTTTCAGAGAGACAGATAGCCCGAAATAGGCAAGGCAGTAAAGGAGCCAGAAGAGCGGGTAGGTAGGTAAGGGATGAGTGTTGCCTGGGTATAGAACTAGGGAAACAATAGTTATTAAACTTAATCCCAAAGTTTGACCCAATGTGGAGAGCCCCATTAAGGTCTAGGTGCAGTTGAGTGGGCACAGTGCGGGTTGGTCATAAATCCCACTCTAGTGGCATGGCTCATGGCAGAGAAGTCCACGTAGTGTGGTCTGAGAGTTGGCCAGAGAGTGGGATGGACCAAAAGGACATTTTCAGATCTCAACCCCCTGATCTGGGTGGTGAGGTTTACACTAAAGAAAAATGGGAAGGTCGGGGGGCAAAATCTTAATACTGACAAGGAGTTCTAAATTGTGCCTGGATCCTTTTCCTGGAATGATGAAAAATGCTTACTTGATTGAATTCACTGGTAAAATTCAACCACCTCTTCCTTTCTTGAAAATAGAACATAAATCAGAGAATTTTGAGCTGGAAGAGATCTAAAGAATCACCTGCTGCTACCCCTCATCTAGCAGGGGAAGAAACTGAGCCCAAGGGAGGCAGGTCTGCCTATCCCTGGCAGAGAGCAAGTCTGGGACTCCACCAGACTTGCTTTTGTAAAAAGCTCTGGCTTAGACTGGTTTCCCTCCAAGATGTCCAGGGACCAGAAATCTCTCTTGGAGAATGCTCAAAATAACTCCTATCTATTCTGAACCATGCCACACTGTTCAATGCAGAGAAATAAGCAAGAGAGCAATTCAAGCCAAGATTTCTAGTCTTCTGCTTATCTGTAAGAATTCCACAGTACCACAAATTTCATCCCTCCTCCTTGAAATGCATAAATCCTGAAACTGGTCAAAACCAGAAGAGACAAAGACACTGTTGACCTCATTCTTGATCCCCAAGTCAACAATTTCTTCTAATACAAATCGTTCCTTTCCTATCAAATAAAAGAAACAACAAATTACAAGAGTGGCAAAGAAAAAGTGTTTTTCCGGAACTCAACTGCATTTTTATCTTAGCACACAAAAACGTTCTCACCATTTTTTTTTTTCATAATCTAAGAAATTTTGAGGTCATGGACTTATTGCTAAGACTTTGGCCAACAGCTAACTTCTGTGCTTTTGGATTTTCTCATTCATCACCTGGGAAAACTAATTGTACCAAAAGTTCGCCAAAACGAATAACATCCTGGATGGTTTCTTGCTACACCTTGTGAGGTAAATAATAGTGATACTTATTATCACCATTTACAGTTTAGAGTTTATCAACTATCTATTAGGTGCCCAGCATTGTGCTCTAACAAAACTTTAAAGCAGGTACTGCTGTGCTCAACTTAACAGAGAATCCACGGCTCAGAGAGGCAGAACTCATTTAGCCAGGGTCACTTAGCCAGTCAGCACCAGGGCTGAAATTCCTAGTTGGGCCTATGTGACTCCAAATCGCTTCCTATTACATGGCCGTTCCTTGCTTCTGAGTCTTCTTTAAAAGTGTAATAAGATAACTAATCCAACATGTTATGTTCTCACTTCCTTTAAACTTTCACAAAGCCATAGAGTCTTAGAGCTAGAAGAAGCATTAGGACATGGTCTAGCCTCTTTTCTTACCTTCACATGGGAGTGTAAACCAGCCCAGACCAAAGTCCTTTGTTTACTAAGACATCATAGCAAAACAATTTGAAAATATTTTGTAATTACTCAGTTCATGTCTAATTTTCAAAAATCTAAGAGCTCACCCAAATGGCACACATTATAGTCTAGGCCCCATGTAAAGACTGGAAGCAGTTAATCTCTTCTGTCCAAATACCCTTTGTTCATGCTGAAGAAGATGAACTGGTCTTTGAACCTGTCCCTCTGTCTTTGTTCTGGGGTCTTTATTCTCTCTGGGGGTCTCCTCTTCACACTCAAGGGCCCCATATCCCTCTTTGGGATAGTCAGGAATCTACTCCACGAGGAAGGAACTAATCAAGGCAGACTTAGGGGCTCCCATTTATACACCCAGGTTTTCACTAGCTTTTGTAGCAAGAAAAGAAGATCAGAAGTCAGCTATAAAAGAAAGAAAGGAAGGATGCCATTCTTAACTTACCATTTTCTTTGTGACACATGCTTTCATAGACACTTTTCAGGTAATCTTCACTACAGCCCTGATCTCTACTTTTACATCAAAATACCTTAAGTTGAGAAAAGTTAAGGTTACAGATCTAGATTGTAATAGAGCTGAAATTCAATCCCAGTCCTGGCTGAGTCAAAGTCCTTATTTACTCCACTACTCCCCTGAACTGGGTTTGGACACGTGAAACCAATTGTCTCTTTTTTGCACCTTTGACCTCACTAACCTCATTCCAACCCAACCTTACTGTCTTGAGTAAGTTTGTCACTGGCCACTAAAAAAGTTTGCTGGGATTCTGCATTTTTCACTGCAAATTCATTATCCCTGTAGGAAATTCAAATATGTGTTCTAGTGGCTGTGACTAAAAGCATCAGCTGAGCACAAAGGACGGCCCAGTTTGAGGATGGTGCTGACTCATCCTCTTTCCTATCTGCCTGGCCTTGGGTTCCTCCATAGTACATTTCCTCCCTAGCAAACTGGCCTGGACCTGTTCTTTCTCAACTTTGTTTTCTGGTCACTCTTCCAGTCCAGTGAGGCCACTTTGGTTTCGGTTTGGTTTGGTTTGATTTTTAAGTAAGCTCTATGCCCAACATGGGGCTTGAATCCATGACCCCAAGTTCAAGAGTTTCATGTTCTACTGACTGAGCCACCCAGGCAACCCTAGCAAGGACACTTTGAATTGGATCCCAATTTTTAAGGTGGGACACCCTCTCATGAACATGTCATCCACTGAGTTAACAAACACACTCGCGACGTTCTTACCTAACAATTGTCAACAAAGGTGAGTCGCCTACTTGGCAGCTGTATGGTCTCCTCCTTAGGGAAAACCTGACCTCCACCCCTGACAGGGGGCCGAGTTCAGAGTTCTAATCCACTTCAGGTAGGAGGGAGTGGAGAAGATCATTGTGTTGGAGATGGTTTTATAAGGATACCATTACATGACTTGAAACACAACTCTCACGTACTTTGAAAGGATTAATAATGAACAGTCTATCCTCTGGCCATGGACCCCTCATAAGCTTACTCTTTCCCTGCTCCAACCACATCCTTCCAAAGAAAATAGCTTAAGGAATGGTTTACTCACTTACAGGTTCTGGGTCAAATGCTTCTTTGGTCTTGAAGAGCTTAAGAACAACAAACATTTTTCTCTAGATCAAGTAACTGCTGGCCCTCAGCTGAACCCCTGCTTCCCTCTACAGTTCCTCAGCCCCTGAACATTGCTGGATGTGTATTCCCTGTATGTTATTTGTTCTTGATGATATCTTATGGTTTTTCTTGAACCAAATGAGACACTCTGCCCGCACAAATAGCTCCCAGGAAAATGGTCCATGACAAGTATTTGTGGGGAATGCTGACTGCCTCCAAACAAAGGGAAAGTTGTTTTTCATGTTCTCCACATTTTAATTCACTTGCTGGAACCTATTAGCACATTCCACTGTCACTGTGGACAGGGTGCTAATAGATCTGGAGCATGAGGGTGGTAGAAAACGCTATTAAAGTCAGAGTTTTGTCTTGTTACCTTGGGAGTGAATTATATAAAGGTACCTAATTAGCTCCTAGGCATCTGGCAGAATGGCCAAGGCAGAGTATGGAGAGCTGCCTCACGAATACCAGTTCCACATAGGAGGCCAGCTTTTAGGGACTCCACACCCTGAAAAGCACGCCACTAATGACATTGCTTGGCAGCTAAATAAGCAGCAGCCAGCCCTCCAGCAACTGAGGCACATGCTGCTTTCCCCACTAAAGCTCTCTAAGGGGATGGGCTGATCTGCATCGCCCAGCTGAGAAGCTACACCAGCTTTACTTTGGAAAACCATTTCTGCTTATGTCATCAAATTAAAAAGTCAGTTTTTTAAAAGTTGGGATAAAGCGCCAGTGAACCTAGAGACACACATATACACACACTTCACCCACCAATTTCATTCACAGATGCTCACTCCTAAGTGCACACACATTCTTCCATACTTGGAAGGGAATCCTAATCACAGATCCCAGTGGCCAGATCTGCGGTCTGGATAGAGCAAAGTGGAAAGTAGTTTTAGTAGTGGTCTTTAGGGTAGAGACACACCCAAACACAGTTTCATTTCCTGGCTCTTTTGTATTCATCACTCAGGGATCATTTGTTAACAAGCAAGAAAAACTCATTCAAACTAACAAGTAAAATAGGTGAATTTATTTGCTAATTTTATTCTCTTTTCTTCGATAATCTGTTTGATCTATGTCTTGTTAGATCAGAATCTGTTTGATCTCGTAGGTTTGCCCCCCCCACCAGATCCATTATTCACCCTTCCTACTCTGTTTTGTGCTCCAGAAGGCCCCTTGCTCATTGTTCCCTGTTGGACTTAGCCAATGGGCCTTCACTGAAATCATTTCATTCAAACCATCCGAGTTAAATTCTGATTCCTACCTAATGCAGTGGAACCTCTAAACATCTTGCCTTTGATCTGTCCAGTCGTCCTTCAGTCATAATGGCTTTCCAGTTCTACATAGCAAATTCAGGCTGACAGACGTTCTCTCCACAAACTTTCCCCCTCCATTCCCAACTTGACCAGAGTTAGTCAATATTCTGGTAACCCATAATTATCAGTAATTGCCATCTATTCTTTAAATTGTTTGGAAAATACTAACATGTGTGTCTTACAAAGAATATAAACACCTATTAATCTTGTTCAATTTATTACCACAGTCAAGGTCGCACTTGGGGTCTTGCAGTGTCTTCTAGACTCCAAGCCCCAGGGGGTTAAGCTCATGGCTGTATCCATATCACAAAGTGCCTGCCAAAATGGAGCAGTTAATAAAATATATGTCCAGTTCTAAAAAAAAGAAACAAGGAGGAGGAAGAATTTGTTTATGCCTTTGGGTTCATCTGTTCTAGAATACTTACTCTAGTAATAAAAAATGCTGTTAGCAAGAAATGATATTTATTAAGCACCTATTGTCGTCTATGACTGAAGTTCACTATCTTATCTCATTTAATCCTCATAACCACACTATGAACTAAACACTATTTTCATCTCCATTTAAGAAAATGAGGCTCCAAGATTAGGAGGTTGTTCTAGGTCACCAAGCCTGTGTGTGACAGAACCACCCTCAGTTTGATAGTCCCCAAAATCTGCTCTCTTAACCAAATCCAATGCCTGCCCCCAACACCCCCACCCTCTGTATGGCTTTGCAATTCCCTCTGGAGCCCACAGTATACTTCTCCTCCAACTGTTTCATGGTCAGTACGTCAAAACTGTAAGGTGTCTTCCATGTCTTTCACTGAGTTTTCTTTTCACGTTACATATCTCTGGGTCCCCAGTGATTCCTCACACAGCATGGCTTACAGACCTCTCATCTTGTTCTAGTGTAGATGTGCCCCAAAGTTCTTATTTAACACACTTCCACCCCACCCCCCCTCAGCAGTAAGGGCTGGAAATATCTATTAACTTTCCATCTAGAACCAACCACACCAAAGAGGCATCACACTGTCTCCCTGGGACCTCCTAACTGGGAGCAATACATCATCAGACTGATTATCCTAACAGATCCATATGATTTACAGGAGTTGTGTGTGCACGCATGTGCATAAATGTGTAAGGGAAGAAGGATGTTAAAGGAAGAGAAAGCAGAGCCTGTTTTCTGGAAACTGTCTTGAAGCAACGCTTTCCTTGATGGGGGCAGTTTAAGGAGTCTGCAATTCCAGCATCTGTTCATCCTTAAAAACCAAAAACATTTCCTAGACAACTGAAAACAAGCACGTTTCCAAACCTGTGAACCTCCATGCACAATGAAGTGAGATCTGTTTTCTGTCCTTGACTGGAGATCCAAACACTTTCCATTCCCTGAAATGAAGGACTTTACTGAAGTGAAATGAGAGTTATCTCCCCTCCCAGAAAGTAGCCCCTATTCCCTGACAACAACTGCTTGTTTGAGAAGTTCTTTCTACCTGACTTATTAGAATAGACCAGGAACTCTTTGATTGTTCTGTGCCACGTGCTCCTTGGCAGTCTGGTGAAGACTCTGAGCCCGTTCTAAGAATCGTGTTTATAAATGAAGAACCTAATTACATAGGAATTCAAAAGAAATCAAATACATTAAAATATAGTTATAAAAATATTTTTAAATTGTGATATAATAACAATGTGCTTCTTTGGTACTGTTTTAAATATTGATATCTATGTCTAATAACTATCATAATTTGGAAGTAGCAACAAGCACAAGTGATACTTCAACATCTCTACAACAATCTATTATGGAAAAAAGATCTGATCTCTATTGGTGACACAGTCACAGGTACTGCCTGTTACCTACATTCGTTATTAAAAGAAATGCTGATGTTCAGTCAGAGGTTAGTAAAAATAAAAAGGTAATCTCTTCCCAGCAAAATTCATAGACCCCCTGAGTTGAATGGACCCCAGGATAAGAACCCCCAGTTAGGAAACTGAAACTTTAGAAACCTGGAAGTGGGGAGACTTGTGACCAAAACTTGCTTCTGAGGTTTGAGAAGATCTTCAGTTTGTAATGTACCGGTAGGTTCCAGTACTTAGTATTTTGTCTTTTACTTATTGAGAAACCAGTAGGATAGTTTAAGAGTGAAAATTTGGACACAGGTTCTCCGCTTGGCACATGTATTGAATTTCATCATTTATAAGCTGTATGTGGAGAAAAGGTGGGAAATGGTCTATTCTGTAATGAATCTCATTCCTGAACCCCTGGCTAGAGCTTGCATACTGCCAAGGCCCCTCACCCTCTACACACAAGCCTGGAAAAAGCTCTCTCACCTTCCCCTAAAAGGACATTCCCCAAGCATTCAAAGAGGCATACTTTTTCCTTTCAGCTGACACTGCAAATGCTTAGGTGGGGAAATATTAGTTGATTCCTTAGAAGAAAGTAACACTCTCATTAACGGAAGATTTTCACTGACATCTTGACTTATCAAGTCCCAACCACCCTTGGAGCCAGGCAGGCTCCTGTCTGACAGACATCCAGCAGATGTCACTGGATACCACCTCCACAGCCTACAGGGCCTCTTACCACACATGCTCTCCTGCCTTGTAGTCCAACTAGGTCACTCAAGCCTCCAAAAGAGCAAAAAATCCAGCTGTCTCTACCAGTGTTCCCATGAAAGACAATAGGATATCTGAAGATCTGAACATCTTTTATAGCATTTCAGATCTAGAAGTTACCACAGAGATGATCTATCAGGGGCACTAATGGTAATTTGGGCAGGACAACTTCTTGTGCATTAGCATTTGAGCCCCGTCCACTAAATGCTGGAAGTGCATGCCCCATGTCTCTGTGACCCTCACAAGTAGCTCCTTATATTTCCAAACATCCCCTAAGGGACGTCACATAGCCCCTGGTTGTGGGTCAGAACCGCTGAATGAAAATGAGGCATAGAGAGCTTTCATGAGTTTCCCCAAGACATAGGCATAGCCAACTTATTGATTTGCTTATAACCCCACTTAGTTCCCAAAATGATCTGAATGTGTTGAACAACCCAGTTTTCATTTGGCCAAAATTCTCCTTATCTCCATTTTACGCATGAAGGAATTGCCCAGGGTCGCACAGCTAGAAAGTACAGGAGATCAGAACTCAAGCTTTGAGCACAAGTTCCACTGTGTTACTCCCTCTGCTGCTCAGTAATGTCACCAGACACTGGGCAGTTGCTGGTACCGTGTGTTAGGCCCTTGTGCTGCCCTGACGCTCTGAGTCGAGAAATGCCATTATCCCACCAGGTGCTGCAAGGAGCAGCCACGTGTTTCTATGCTTTCATCGGCTTTGACATCATCGCCACCACTGGAGAGGAAGCCAAGAATCCAAACACGTCCATCCCTTATGCTATCACCGCCTCCCTGGTCATCTGCCTGACAGCATATGTTTCTGTAAGTACTATATCCTTTCAGGACCATCCTGATGGCCTTTTTGTATCTGACTTTAAAATGGAGCTCTGGGACTGGGTTACCTTCTGTCAGGAAGTGGTCCTTCCTTGTGCAATCTTGGTAACTGTATGCATGTGTCCACACATGCTCTATCCCCATCCACACATGACAAGAAGGAAATCAGGACTGCAAACGGGACACAGGAGCAGCCCTGAGCCCTCACTTCACCCTTGGTCTCTGAGTCTCCATCCCCATTCCTCCCCACACACGCAGGCTCTGGGTGTCTGCTGCTGCCCAGGGATGGTGTACAGGGAGTGGGCTGCTGTCCAAGGAGCTCAGATCATAGGCTGGCAGTAACGGGTGGGTGTGCAAGCAGAGGCATTGTGGACCTCTGTGCACCCTCCTCAATGCTCTTCTGTCTTCTGGGAACTTCCCAGCAGCGAGAGGCAAGGCTCTCCCAGAGTGGGGAGAGAGAACACATCATCCTCTAGAGACACTCTTCCCCTTAAATCTCAGAGGAAATTTCTTTTTGCTGTTGCTCCCTCTTTTTACACTGGTCCAAGCTTCTTTTTAAGGTTTTCCAACTAAAAGGAATCTTCAGAAGGAAGCCTTCAGCCTTGTCTTCTCAGGGTCACTTCCCTGAGACAATCTTCACACTCTTCATGTGTCATTTGTCAGCTCCCATCTCAGAATTTCTATCACAGAAATAGTTCACTCACAACGAACATTCCCCCCACCCAACCCCTGGCAATGGAAAGAACCAGTTGAGAAGCCAATAGGTATGTCATTACACCAATGCCCCAGGCCCTGAGGGTTCCACTCACTTCAGTTACCAGAAATAGGAAAGAGCCAGCAGCTGGGACATGTCCTATCAACACTGCTACACCAGCTGCATAGCATAGGAAAAGTACCTTTCTCCCAGATACTAAAGCAAAACAATAACATCTTTAGCAACTAAGGAAGCCAGACCGGTGACTGGCTTGATCATGATGGCAAGCTGCAAAATAATATTGTCCTGGACACCAAAGGAAAACACAAGAGTAGCCTTCAATGTGGTTTATAAGGAATTCACCTGCTCCTCACAATTGTTTTATGGGTAGGTCAATTATCACCTAGCCCTATGCACACACAGGCAAGTGGCTTCATTTTATCCATACCCTAGTTATCCCTGCAGACAGCGTGTTCAGGGAGTGATGTGGGAAGAGCAGCAGAGACACTCCGCTCTGCCTTTCCCCTCTTATTCCTCCCTCATATCCCTCCCCTTTCTCCTGGGGTCAACCCCTGTGGCACACACAATAAAGTTAATAATCACAACTCCTTTCTTAGAACAGCGCTTTATAGACTGCAGAGTACTTCTATGCATCCATCAACTTTTTGCCCATCCTGATCTAACGTGAGCAGCAGGCTCAAAGCAAGTTGTTGTAGGGATCTGTCCCACTCTCCTCTAGTCCACCCCCGAAGAGGATGTTGCAAGTGGTGAAGTTGCTGGGAAACATTCTCTTCTACAACACATGGCCCTTACCCATGACTCAGGGGCTGTTTGGTGTTGCGCTGGTCAGCAGGCTGTCATCCCACCATCAGAAAAGCCAAACTGTGGGGCTGTGGTAGTCCATCCTCCTGTCCTCCCTAGCAGCCCGTGGCTTTGCCGGAGGATTTTGGCTCCTGAGAAATATGCAAAGAAGTGGTCTAGAAATGCACTGCCCTCTCCCTTTCAGGCTCTGAACTCTCTTCTTGATGCCAATATTGGCCTCTGCAGGCCAGGGAAGGCCTGGCCTTATGACCTGTGGCTTCATGGCCCAGGGCCATGAGAAAGGGATGTTATGGCAGATTTATCACATACAATGGAAGATAGGTCCTGCGAGCCAAGTGATTCCTGGCTAAGCAAAGCCACAATAGCCTTACAAAACCAGAGTAGAACTGGGTTCCATCTCAATGCCATAATTTGTTTGTTGGTCTGCTTGGCTCCTGGCACTGAGCTGCAGAGAAGAAATGGAAATATGAGCCCTTATCTGGGTCACATCTGTTAACTGGCTATGGATTTCCAATCACTTATCTTTGGAGTTTCTATCTCTGGTGTTCAGGGTGAAAGGGAGTATATAGCTAAGACTGCATAGGACCCTGAAAGTATAAAATAAATGAGAGTCTGGGCTATGTGGGCAGTGTGCCCATGGTCATTGCTAGGCCCTGGCTCCAGTGCCTTTGGCTGCCATTCCTTCCTTCTGGTGATATCTGCCCTTCATTGGACTGTCAATGTAGTTCTGCTGTTGTGGGGCTTACGTACCTGCATTTACTCCTCAGTTATGAAAGGGCCAGAGAGATACTGAGGATCATCTCACCAAGACCACTAAATTCTAATGGGAGGAGAAAATACTGAGACCAAGAGTTCTGGAAGCCAAGTGACTGGTCTAAATTAAGGGCATATGCCAGGAAGTGGCAAATCCAACATCCAGGTCTCTTTACTCTCCTGTGGGACATCCATCCATGCTGACCGTCCTCTCTACCTCCAGCCATGTTTTCTCTTGTTTTAACAGGTGAGCATGATCTTAACTCTGATGGTGCCATACAGTGCCATCGACACGGAATCCCCGCTCATGGAGATGTTTGTGGCCCATGGGTTCTATGCTGCAAAATTCGTAGTGGCCATTGGGTCAGTTGCAGGACTGACAGTCAGCTTGCTGGGCTCCCTCTTCCCAATGCCAAGGGTCATTTATGCCATGGCTGGTGATGGGCTCCTTTTCAGGTAAGGGCTATGCTCCATGGAATGTATTCTATTTTGCCATGCCTGTCCAGGGAGAATGTCACTCACTGTCAGCCTGACTATAATTTTTTTTAAAGATTTTATTTATTTATTTGGCAGAGAGAGAGAGAGATCACAAGTAGGCAGAGAGGCAGGCAGAGAGAGGGGGGAAGCAGCCTCCCCACTGAGCAGAGATCTCAACTCAGGGCTCAAACCCAGGGCCCTGAGATCATGACCTGAGCCGAAGGCAGAGGCTTAACCCACTGAGCCACCCAGGTGCCGCAGCCTGACTATAATTTTGATGTGAATGTTAAGCAGCATAGACTATGGAATTTGTCACATACCCTAACAAAGAGTTTGAGTGAAAGGAATATAAGCCCTGAAAGGGTCCCTCAGTTTGACTCTGGGTCCTTCAATCTAGCACAAACTAGTATGTTCCCTTAACTGCCCCACCCCTCCTGTTCAGCATTGTGTGTTGCTTTGTGAAGATTCTGGGTGTCCAACTGTCACACTGGGGTGGCTTCCAGAGGGAAGGATCCCAGGAACATCTCAGGCCTGCCCTCACATTGAGGCCTGGTACTGCCCATCTCTCCACAGCCCCTCTGAAGCCACAAACATTCCAATCTACCATCACAGGAAGGACAAGACCATCTGAACAGAGCCTAATATCAGTAGCAACGATGGCTACCATTTATTGAATATTTGTGTATCCTAGGTGCTTTGTATACAGTATTTCAGTTAGTTTTGCAAATGAATATAGTAGATGAGTATACTCAGGTGAAAATAACTTGCCCCAACACCCAGTTACTGAGTGGGGGGCCAGGATTTAAACTCATGACAGTCTGACTCCAAAGACCAGATTTTTAACTACACCAACATTAGCCGTGAAGTGGCCAATCTGCCCATGGACGCAAAGGGAATGTGCCCCACTTCTTGGTTCCCAGTGCCCACCATATGAGGGCTTGCAGTGAAGGCATTCTTCAAGTGCACGAAGCAAGGAGTAAAGCATAGAGACCAAGGAGCTCTCAGGGGTATGGAGGGATCTCCTCAGGGACTTTCTGCCATCAGCTGTCATCTTCTGCTTCATTTCCTCTGCATACCCTCAAAGTCATCACAAGGTCTGAGCTGCCATGTTTGGGAGCTGGACTGATCCAGAAGAGGCCGATTATCATGGAGATGTGACAACTTCACACATCCAAAAGGTTTTTCTGCTCTCAAAGAAAATTAAGAGGAAAGATCCCAAGCTCAGCCAACAGTCATGTGTAAAACACAAAAATAAGGGAAGGGAACCTGGAAGGCTTAGTCAGTTAAGTGACCAACTCTCAGTTTTGGTTCAGGTCATGATCTCAGGGTTGTGGGATCAAGCCCCATGCCATGCTGGGCATGGAGTCTGCTAAGATTCTCTCTCTCCCTCTCCCTTTGCCCGAACCCTCATTCACACTCACTCTCTCTTTCTCTCAGAGGGAAGGAAGGAAGGAAGGAAAGAAGGAAGGAAGGAAGAGGAAAAAGGAAAAAGAAAAGAAGGGAGAAATGGAAGAGAGGGGAGGAGGGAGGATTAGGAGGAGAGTGAGGAGGAGAGCAGGAACCAACTTAAGACCCACAAGAACTACTAAAATAGTACCTGCCATTCATTCACCTTTGTTGGTCTTCTCCATTTGGTAACTGGCTGGATTTAGCCTGCATCTATGAGCACATGTTTGGAATTATTGTGCTGTTTTGCCAGCTAAAACCCTGCACTTTCATTATAGAGCTGTGCTTCTCAAGTTTTGGCATAAATCAGAATCCTCTGGAAGTTTTCTAAAGTATAATTTGTTAGGCTCCATGCCCAGAGATTCTGATGTAGTAGGTCTCTGGTGAAACCTGAAAATATGCATTTCTAATAAGCTCCAAGGTGATACTGATGTTGCTGATCCGTGGACTGACCACACTGGGTAACACAGGGAACCCCAAGCAGGTATGTGAATTCTCCGTCCATCACTTCTTCCTAGGAAAGCTTGCACTTCAATTCAGGTTTCTGACATACTTCCTAAATTCAATCAACCCTTCACATCACACAATGAAGTAGGAACTTTAATAAAGAAGTTTGCCTCAAAAACAAGGCATTCAAGTAAATTCTTTTTAAATTATACTTCGAAAACCAAATCCTACAGTAGGAATAGGAGCTGAATTGAAACCAGTGAATCCAGAAGTAAAGTGGAGGGGCAGGACCAGGAGGAGTTAAACCACGTTAGAGTCTGTCACCCTCTGTAGCTCACTGCTAACCCTGTGCTTGCCCCTCCCTCCAGGTTCCTGGCTCACGTGAGCTCCTACACAGAGACGCCAGTGGTGGCCTGCATTGTGTCGGGGTTCCTGGCAGCTCTCCTCTCACTATTAGTCAGCCTGAGAGACCTAATAGAGATGATGTCCATTGGCACACTCCTTGCCTACACCTTGGTTTCTGTCTGCGTCTTGCTCCTTCGATACCAACCAGAGAGTGACATTGACGGTTTTGTCAAGTTCTTGTCCCAGGAGCACACAAAGAAGAAGGAAGGCATCCTGGCTGACTGTGACAAGGAAGTTTGTTCTCCTGTGAGTGAAGGGGAAGAGTTTTCTGGCCCAGCCACCAACACATGTGGGGCCAAGAACCTACCATCTCTGGGAGACAACGAGATGCTCATAGGCAAATCCGATAAGTCAACCTACAGTGTGAACCACCCCAACTATGGCACTGTGGACATGACCACAGGCATAGAAGCTGACGAATCCGAAAACATTTATCTCATCAAACTAAAGAAGCTGATTGGGCCCCGTTACTACACCATGAGGATCCGGCTGGGCCTTCCAGGCAAGATGGATCGGCCCACGGCAGCTACAGGGCACACGGTGACCATCTGCGTGCTGCTGCTCTTCATCCTCATGTTCATCTTCTGCTCCTTCATCATCTTTGGTTCCGACTACATCTCAGAGCAGAGCTGGTGGGCCATCCTTCTGGTTGTTCTGATGGTGCTGCTGATCAGCGCCCTGGTGTTTGTGATCCTGCAGCAGCCAGAGAACCCCAAAAAGCTGCCCTATATGGCCCCCTGCCTCCCCTTCGTGCCTGCCTTTGCCATGCTGGTGAACATTTATCTCATGCTAAAGCTCTCTACCATCACATGGATCCGGTTTGCAGTCTGGTGCTTTGTGGGTAAGCAACTTCCTTTGGAGCCTTTAGAGTTCCCTCTCAAGGCCTTGAGCAGGCTTATCCCAAAATTACCTCCTAGCTGGACTAAGTTTCTCCATTGCAAGAGAAATCTGGCTGGTTCTATGGACACTTGCTTTATGCATTAGAGTCAGTAAAGCCAGTTATGCCCTTTCTGCCTATTAGGGTCTTGGTCTTTGGTTCTGAAGAATGATGCTGATCAATCCATCACTTTCCATCACCTCATTGAATACCATTACTGGACATTCTTTTTATGGATAATTAATTCCATAAAAAGTCCACTTAAAATGAATCCATATAATAAAGGGACAAAAATAGCACAGTAAAAGTGAGAGTAGAAATGTCCAACTGGAATTCTACCTTGGAAACTAAAAATTATGAAACTAAAGTTTAAAAAAACATTTTTCTTACATTTGACAAAATTAAATTAAAATACCAATCATGCCCTAATTTCTTTAACAAGCAAAGTATGAATTAAGTGTGGATTTTTGGGCATAATATTTCTGACTAAATTATGCCATTTCACATCCTCACTTCATATTGACTTTTATAAAATATCTAAGACTTTTTCATTTTTTCCCAAGATTCTTTCTTCACCCTTCAGATATTCTAGTCATTCTCTTGGGAAGCACCTATCATGCCATCGGTCTTACCGATTTTCTCTTCTCTTGTTGGTAACTGATATAACTCTGCCAGCTCCTCAACCGTCCACAACTTTGGGTGTAAATCAGAAATGCTCTCTCCAAATTCACATTTATTGCCTTCGAAAAGTCCTGCAGCTTTCCCAAGATTTTTAATCTCCCTTTGTGGCCAATTTACATTATCACATGTTTCTCACACCCAACAAGCACTGATGTTCGTGAGATGACTGGGGATTGGTGCTCATGATAAGTTGAGAGGGAGGTTTAAGTGAAGTCTAACTTTAAAGTTCCTCAGTCACCCTCTTGAAGTTCCTTATACAGATTGGTAGCCCTGAAGCCTCATCCTCTCCTTGAAGTCAGGAAGATGGGTGTTCAGCACTGCTGTCCTCTGTGCCTGGAACACAGCATGTGCTTAATAAATGCTCCTCTCTGAGTACTGTTTCAATGAGAAAAAAATGGAATAGCTGGAAAGAAGCATGAGGAGGCGGAATTTAAACTGTAAGCCTGGAAGATAAGATTTACATAGAGGGAAGTAGGGGAGAAACAGTGCTCGGAGGACAGGGCTTTGGTCTTCCAGCAGATTCCTCACTGCTGAAGACCGGCCTGTGTCTTCTTGTAAGCATCCTGGCCCAATTTTTCACGACTCTAGGTCTCATCCTTTGTTAGGCTTTCAGAGGAGTTCTTGAGAGAACCCCACTAACTCATCGGGGTTTTAACTACTTACATGATTTATTCACAGTTTCTCTTCTCCATTTAAACATATTTCTGTTGGAACATGTAGCTAACCAATGGAAAGATTTGACTGAAGAAGGGAGAAATGTTTCACTCATGTATTTGTCAAATGACTGAAGGCATAGACATGAAGACAGAGGCATTCATTCCTAGATTGTTAAAGCTGGAAGGGACCTTCACTATCTAGTACAATATTACCCACAGGGTGGTGACCAGTGTATTGGTAATATTTGGGCTGATTTTAGAGAGTCTAGGAATGAACTTTTTTGAGTTTTTAAAAATATTACATAGTTATTATACATTTTCACACATACTAGAAAAAATATATTTGCTCACATCAATCTGGTAATTATTTTTAAATTTAAAATGAGTCAAATTAAAGAAAAAAACATCAGTACTAATACAGGTGCCATGATTCATAGTAATAATTAACACTTAATATAGCCCTTAGCACATACCAGCCATTATGCAAGGACTTTCCTTACATTAACGTATGTAACCCTCAAAATGACCTTCATTTTACAGATGAGGAAGCTGAGACATTTGACTGAGGTCACATAGCTAGAATTTGGTAAAGCCAAAATTAGCAGTCAGGTGGTGTGGGTCCAGGGATCGTGACCACAGCCACTATACTAAGTACGTGGTATAGAAATAATGGAAGTTGGAGAAACACTAACATCATCTATCCCTTCCCACTTCTCCATCTCTAGGTTTTACAGATGACAAAACTAAACTTCCAAAAAGTTAAATAACATGCTCAAGGTCAACAGGAATAATGGGAAGCTCTTCACACGGCTATTACTAAAACCCAATGTCTCCACGCTCAGCTCTGCACCTGGTACCACCCCACCACAGAGCCCCTGAGCATCCTCCTTATTGGAGCAGAAAGTTTGATATGTAGTTCCTGCAGATTAACCTCTAACATCAGGGCTGACTCCGCAGTTGCACAACCTCTGCACACAGGGCCCCACATTTGGTCTAATGCTCTGCTGCTGCTGCTGCTGCTTCCTTGAATTCTTACCAAATTTTTTTCTTCTTAACAACTTTTTCACAAGAGGCTCTATGATTTCATTTTGCACTGGGGCCCACAAATTACATTACCAGTTCTGCATTGTATCTGTGGTTTCTGGAGCACCAGAGGCATTTTGCAAAAGTGGTAAGGAGGTGGGGATCCTTGCCTTTGGAATCAAACCACCCAGGTTCAAATCACAGCTCTGCCACCTCTGTGTCTTGTGACCTTGGGAAGTTCACTTAGCTCCTCTGTGTTTCAGTTTACTCATCTGTAAAAATGCAAATAATTCACTAGTCTTGATCTGGTTGCTCTTTGAGGCTTAGATAAGAAAAGGGGTGCCTGGGTGGCTCAGTTGGTTAAGCATCCGACACTTGATTTCAGCTAGTCTCAGGGTTGTGACCTCAGGGTTGTGAGGTCAAGCCCTGCACAGGGCCCCATGCTGGGTGTGGAATCTGCTTGGGAGTCTCTCTCTCCCACTCCCTCTGCCCCTCCCTGCCTCTCCCCTCCTAAAAAAAAAAAATAATAATTAATTAACTAATTAATTAAAAATTTTAAAAGAATATATTGGGGAAAGTGATACGGATTATTTCTCTCCTGCCCTTCTTTTTAAAATCTAAAATGATTCATTGTCCTCCAGACTAGCTATCACATGCCAAAGTACAGCATGAACCTGTTCTGACTCAGGTTGCCCTCCCAGTTATCAGGCAGAAGAAAACTCCCAGAGAGCCTTTTGCAATCTTGCTGATAGCATAAACTTCAAACCTGTTCCAGAAACGGATACTACTCCCGAACATGGGAGGAAGTCACCCTGCAGCCTGGGGCTGCCCAGAGGGCACAGGAGCTCACAGCTCAACAAGCACCCAGCTGCTAGCCACCAATTTCCTTAGCATCATGGTCTTTGAAGACTGGTACATGAGTAAGCTTTGCCTAAAACAAAAATTTGCAATCTCAACTACACAGCAGAATTGCCTGACTGCTGAAATATTCTGTGCCCAGAATCCCCCCCTCAGAGATTGTCTCAAGTACTGGGCATTTTTTAAGGCTCCCCAGGTAATCATGAGCAGTCAGGTTTAAAATTATCTAGAACAGTGCTTCTCAGAGTTGGGTCCCCGACCAACAGCATCAGTATTACTTGGGAACTAGTTAGAAATGAGATTTTGAACTCCACCCCAGACCTACCAAGTCAGAATCTCTGAGAGCAATTTAGGTTTTAACAAACCCTACAGAGTATTCTGATGGATGCTCAAATGTGAGAACCACTGACCCAGAGAGAAAAATAAGAAGATAATTAGTAAGCAGGGTAGATAATTTAATTACAAAAACTCCCTGTTTTCCAAAAACAAATTTTTGCCCATATAAAATATATCTATCCCACAACCCCATATTGGCTTATAAAATTTTCAGTGCTCTCATAGAACAAAGATTCTACCTCTAAATTTCTGAGTCTCCAAAATGTCAGATTTTTTTCCTAATTTCTCTATTCATAGTATAACTTTCCTGGGGAGAACAGAAGAGATATTTTTAAATGGAACTACTTATGAAACAGCAGCTACTTTTTAAAAAGATTTACATGGCTGAGCTGAGTCATAACTTGATAATCTTCTTGGGCACATTTTTTTTTTTTAAACCAGACTTCTCTAAATGAATCTTAATTACAACATTTTTCTAACAATGTTTTGCTAAGCTTTTGACCTTCAGATGAGCACGACTCATAGAGTAAAATAAGGCACAAGTCCCAACAAGATTACTCAGCACTTGTTTCTTTTCCTTCAGACAAGAGGAATAACACACATAGCAAATGTTTGATAATCCCAACAAAATGAGCACAGGGAAGCCTGAGTTTTCCTTTCTTCTTAGCTGATGTGGTTTTGTAAAAGAACACCTCAAGGGGTTGGGCAGAGTCTCAGGGAGTCTGAAGCTAGCAGCGACCAGTGATGACACTACTCAGTGGCACTTTCCAGCTCTTCGGTTCCCTGTGGGACTTTGTTAGAAAGTAGCCATCTGGTAGACCAGCTCATGGTGGGGGGGCCCCTCAACCCAAGGGCTGCCAAGTTCTTGCCTGCATTTTTTCAGCCCCTCTGAGAAAGCAAATTCTTGTCTATAGATTTAGAGAACAGACAGTGATTTGACAATGAACCTCATAAATCTTGTACTAAGACATAATTTCCAAAGAGAAGACACACCTATGGTCTTTACCTTTGCTATCATTTGAAAATCCTTTTGGAAATGGACTCAAAGCAGCCGTTGTCATGAAGGGAAGAGGAGGAAGGAAGGGGGTTGTGTACTGGGGGCAGAAGGCATCAAGACAAATCAACTCCTGAGAATGTGTCCCATAAATAAGCTTGAAACTCTCCCTGTAGGCAGAGGAGAAAACAATTGGCAATTTCACCAAATAAATGATGCTCAAAGGGGGAAAAAAAAATCATGAAGGCCAGGATGAGGATGGTAACATAGCCAGTGCAACTGGGAGTGTGGAGGGGATCCCGCTACAGTCCAGGCTGTGTGCTGGACGGGGCTGTGCATGGAAGAGAGGGCCTGGGGATCCCATGGCTCTACGCCCAGCGGCAGTTGCAGGGGTGGCTCTTCTTTGAGACAAAGGA